GTGGAGAAGAGCCGACGAAGGACGACAATTAAGAACTGAGGCTGGGAGAGAGGGAAGCTGGAAGGAAGAAGCCGACAGGGAGGAACCGAGGATCAGTCCTCTGGCGCCGACGGAGGACGAGAAGGAAGAAACAGCATCACTGTTACGACTTACGACGGTGAGGGTTTAGGATCTAGGAATTTCTTCATTATGACCGACCCAAAAAATCATCGGTTATAATTAGATGGGTTACCATAATCAAACGAAAATCAACCTATATATCATAAACCCAATCTCACGTCGGTTCACAAATACATGGGTTCAACCCAAAACCATAATCAAACACTCATTAAATCATATACTCTCAACCAATCTCACATCGGTTCACAATTACATGGGGTTGAACCCAAAACCGATAATCCAACGCTCATTCAACCATATACATAACCTCAATCTCACATCGGTTCACAATTACATGGGGTTCAACCCAAAACCGATAATCAAACGCTCATTCAACCATATACATAACCTCAATCTCACATCAGTTCACAATTACATAGGGTTCAACCCAAAACCGATAATCCAACGCTCACTTAACCATATACATAACCTCAATCTCACATCGGTTCACAATTACATGGGGTTCAACCCAAATCCGATAATCCAACGCTCATTCAACCATATACATAACCTCAATCTCACATCGGTTCACAATTACATGGGGTTGAACCCAATACCGATAATCAAACGCTCATTCAACCATATACATAACCTCAATCTCACATCGGTTCACAATTACATGGGGTTGAACCCAAAACCGATAATCAAATGCTCATTCGACCATATACATAACCTCAATCTCACATCCGTTCACAATTACATGGGTTGAACCCAAAACCGATAACTAAACGCTCACTAAACCATATACATAACCTCAATCTCACATCGGTTCACAATTACATGGGGTTGAACCCAAAACCGATAATCAAACGCTCATTTAACCATATACATAACCTCAATCTCACATCGGTTCACAATTACATGGGGTTCAACCCAAAACCGATAATCAAACGCTCATTCAACCATATACATAACCTCAATCTCACATCGGTTCACAATTACATGGGGTTCAACCCAAAACCGATAATCCAACGCTCATTCAACCATATAAATAACCTCAATCTCACATCGGTTCACAATTACATGGGTTGAACCCAAAACCGATAATCCAACGCTCATTCAACCACATACATAACCTCAATCTCACATCGGTTCACAATTACATGGGGTTGAACCCAAAACCGATAATCCAACGCTCATTCAACCATATACATAACCTCAATCTCACATCGGTTCACAATTACATGGGGTTCAACCCAAAACCGATAATCAAACGCTCATTCAACCATATACATAACCTCAATCTCACATCGGTTCACAATTACATGGGTTCAACCCAAAACCAATAATTAAACGCTCACTAAACCATATACATAACCTCAATCTCACATCGGTTCACAATTACATGGGGTTCAACCCAAAACCGATAATCCAACGCTCATTCAACCATATACATAACCTCAATCTCACATCGGTTCACAATTACATGGGGTTGAACCCAAAACCGATAATCCAACGCTCATTCAACCATATACTACATGGGGTTCAACCCAAAACCGATAATCCAACGCTCATTCAACCATATAAATAACCTCAATCTCACATCGGTTCACAATTACATGGGTTGAACCCAAAACCGATAATCCAACGCTCATTCAACCATATACATAACCTCAATCTCACATCGGTTCACAATTACATGGGGTTGAACCCAAAACCGATAATCCAACGCTCATTCAACCATATACATAACCTCAATCTCACATCGGTTCACAATTACATGGGGTTCAACCCAAAACCGATAATCAAACGCTCATTCAACCATATACATAACCTCAATCTCACATCGGTTCACAATTACATGGGTTCAACCCAAAACCAATAATTAAACGCTCACTAAACCATATACATAACTTCAATCTCACATCGGTTCACAATTACATGGGGTTCAACCCAAAACCGATAATCCAACGCTCATTCAACCATATACATAACCTCAATCTCACATCGGTTCACAATTACATGGGGTTGAACCCAATACCGATAATCAAACGCTCATTCAACCATATACATAACCTCAATCTCACATCGGTTCACAATTACATGGGGTTGAACCCAAAACCGATAATCAAATGCTCATTCAACCATATACATAACCTCAATCTCACATCCGTTCACAATTACATGGGGTTGAACCCAAAACCGATAATCAAACACTCATTTAACCATATACATAACCTCAATCTCACATCGGTTCACAATTACATGGGGTTCAACCCAAAACCGATAATCCAACGCTCATTCAACCATATAAATAACCTCAATCTCACATCGGTTCACAAGTACATGGGGTTCAACCCAAAAACCGTAATCAAACGCTCACTAAACCATATATCATCAACCAATCTCACATCGGTTCACAATTACATGGGTTGAACCCAAAATCGATAATCCAACGCTCATTCAACCATACGTAGTAAAAAGCAAACGAACAATGAATTTTACAAAATATGTAAAGTAGTCCGACTGGTTAATACGCTGAATTATTATGCCAAGTGCTCTGGTTCGAACCTTCTTAATGCCGTTTTTTTTTTCACTAACTCACGCGAGCCCACAATCTCACGGGTGTGAGATGGTCCTTCCAAGACCGTGAGGTTCTCTGAACATAGGGAATGATTTTTTGATTCTCAAGGCCCAGTCTCACGGGCGTAAAATTACCATCATTAAGGCGTAATAAAAATCCCATTTCACTGCCCATTCTCACGGCCGTGAGATGGTCCTTTCAAGACCGTGAGGTTCTCTGAACATAGGGAATGCCTTTTTGATTCTCAAGGCCCAGTCTCACGTCCCAGTCTCGCAGCCGTGAAAATGGATTATTAAGGCCGTGAAACAGCTTCTGGCAGGGTGACTAAGGTCCATTTTCACTGCCCATTCTCACGGCCGTGAGATGGTCCTTTCAAGACCGTGAGGTTCTCTGAACATAGGGAATGCCTTTTTGATTCTCAAGGCCCAGTCTCACGTCCCAGTCTCGCGGCCGTGAAAATGGATTATTAAGGCATTTTCAACCATTTTTCGGTATACGATCATGCATAACTTCTTCCTTGTCGACACATTAAACATAAGGGTAAATGACACATTTGGTCACTGAGATTATTAAATCGTGTCATATTTAGTCACTAGAAAAATTTAATATCAATTTTGGTCACTCGAATTACTGACACAGGTCACATTTGGTCACTCTTCTGTAGCCTCTGTCCAACTCCGGTCACTCGAATTATTGAAAAATGTCACATTTAGTCACTCGTATTACTGAAACATGTCACATTTAGTCACTCTCCCAAAAGTTTCCGTCCAACTACATTAATGGAGTTGGACGGAAACTGACGGGAGAGTGACTAAATTTGACCAGTTTCGATAATTCGAGTGACCAAAATTGATATTAATTTTTTCTAGTGACTAAACATGACACAATTTAATAATCTCAGTGACCAAATGTGTCATTTACCCCTAAACATAATATAGAGAAAAAATAACATCACTGAATAATGCTTCATTCATAACTTCATTGTAATTTCAACAGTTTCCTAAACTTCATTCAACATCTACATTCACTAAAATTCATTCAATATCTACATTATCCTAAACTTCAATCAACATCCACATTAACTAAACTCTACATTAACATCACAAGTCTCAATGCTTCTTAGACTTTCTACCCTTTTTCTCCCCACGCGCGTGCAACGGCTTTCTTCCTCGATTGAGTAAGTTTGTCTTGAAATTCACCTTCTCAGTCTCGATTTGGGCAGGTCTCGCATGACTCTCAAAATATTCATCTGACTGTGTCTTAACTGTAGCTTTCACCTCATTCAGATCCGTAGTGAGCAAGTACATTGTAAGTTGTGCCCGCTCATAGTCACTGTCGAACTGGTCAAGCTTCTTGGAATATCGATCTGGATCCAGCAAGTAATTGATGACAAATAGTCCACAATCAAATCTGTAATATAACAAATAATTACCATGGTCATGATGTGAACAAATAATTATCGAACTTAATTAGAACAGTGCACGATTGAACAACAACAAAGGGTACCCATTTGGTTGGCAAGCAACATCCTGGCGATATCTAACCACGAAGTCCACAAATGAAAATGCCCCGCAGATATCATCCTTAAGCAACCAATCTAGACCCAATTTATGCAAATGAAAACATCCCCCTCATCGATATATAACGACAAAGTCGGCAAATGAAAAACAACTAACAACTAAGCAATAAGTAAAGCTTGAAAACTTGAAGAACAAGAAGCAAACCAGTTTCTGCATCCTTGCATCATATTCTTCATTATGAGTTCCTCGTATTGAGTCCCAGATTTCAATTTCTTTGGCTTCCATATTAAAGACCGCCATATAGAAGTGGTTCAACGTGAGGTTGAAAATTGGGACATGAATCTGAAATAATGGACAAACAAACAATAATTATCAATTTAACATAGGAGGGCGAAGCCATTTCCTTTTAGAAAACAACATTACAACATACCTTACTGCAGTAAAGTAGCTCACTTATACAGTATCGCTCAAGTATCTTATATGAACGCATCTTAGCCATAAACTGCTCCTCGTTGCAATGATTCGCACGATCCTAGAAAAATAAAACACAGTCACCCACACAAGCTACATGTAACAAAAAAACATATTAATTTCATGACAAGAATAGACAAAGCAGACAACTGTACCGAAACTGAAGGTGGAAAGAACCAAGACAAGCCACCACTGCGACCACAACTTCGTTCTTCTAGTGTCTTGCACAGACACGCCATTTCTATAATCTAATGCATCATCATCACATATACCAAAGTCAGCAATATACGTTCAATCTACTAAATTACACACATAAAGGAACTTACCCTTGTTGAAATTCTGGTCCTTGGCAAAAGCTCGACAAAATCTTCACGTAACAAGGAAAGAACCCCGCCACCAAGACTAACCAATATGTCACTGTTATACAATACCAAGTTCAAACAACACAACATTAGAATAAGGCAAATACCAAAAACATCCTACAAATATGATCCAATTTTACTTGTAATGATTTCGGGAGGTACCTTTCGGGAAGCTCACTACTAAAAGCAAATTGAATCATCTTCACTGCCTCCAGAGTCAATGGTGTCTGAACAACAAAGGGAGGAGCACGGTACAAAGGTTGTGCTTTCTTAGCTCTGGGATTTGCCCGTTCGAATGGAGAGACCACATACAAACTAGGCTTCAATTTAGACACACTACGTAGTCCTCCTCCCTTTCGCCCCTTTCTTGTTCAAAAACATAAAACAAAACCAGTTCATTAGTAACCACACCATAAGAACCAATAATTAGAAAACTTAATCAAGTGAAATACCTTCACAGCCTTGGAACAACCATCATTAGCAGCAACACTTTCATCACTCAACAATATGAATTTCTCAACTTTAGACGCTTTAGGCTGCTTGCAAGGAGACTTTTTCACAACTTTCACAGAAGGAGATTCAGAACATCTGTCATCTCCAATTTCCCCTTCAGCTTCTCCCGAATTCTCAACTTTGGCAGTCTTGACACATTCCGAGGTAGGAGAAATGGGTTCCCTTGGTTTTTCAACCTCACCCTTTCTGATCGTTCTTTTTCAACTCAGCTGTAGGAGAAATGGGTTCCCTAGGCTGCTCCCTTGACAATGGATCACCTACAGTTGCTTTCACTGCCTCTATAAGGGACTTCATTGCAGTACCGATTTCTTCTCTAAAAGCCCGAAATTCGTTCTCCATTTTCACAACCCGGCTCATTAGCTCATTATCTCTAGAAGCAGCATCACCCATTGCCACTCTAAATTCTTGACCAAAGTTGTCAATTCTACCCTCCATGGTACTAAACCGAGCATCAATACGCTCATAGAGAAGCAGCTCATCCCCGTCGGGTTTGTGCCGTTTCCCGTCTCCTTTTCCCCGTTTCCTTGGAGGTGATTTCAAACCGGCATCCTTAGCTGATCTTTTCCCCGAACTGCTGGAAACCTATAAATTAATTAAAAAGGGAACCAAATGTACCATTAGCCTGCTCCAACTTGTCAAAAGAATCAAATATACTATCAATCTTACCACTTTTGTAAACAATAACTCCACGTCTCCGCTCTCCCAACTCATCAAATCCAAACTCCCATCAATGGTTTGGAAAATACCATTTGCATGCTCCAAGAATATTAACTACAAAAAAATACTATAATCAACATGATGATTAATCATTACAAATATGTAGAAAGTCGGGATTAGCAATTATTTACCTCCAAAAACAGCAAGCAACCCGGTATATACTCTCTCCTATAAGCATTATGGTCGCAGATGCCTTTGACCAATTCATTGAAGCAAAAGGATGCCCAATTCTTCTTCGGAATGTCTGCAACATCGGTGACAGCGTATACCGAAGACAAGGAAATGTCATCTCTTCTAGTTGGTACTAATAGAACCCCCATTACGTACAAAATAAACATTTGAAGAAATAGATCACCGCTATCTTTCATCTCCGACAACGCCTTCTGCATTAAGCTTGTGGAAATCGCCTGTCGGCCACAATCACGTGTCGAAAACACTCTAAATGGTTCCAGTTCCTCTGATCTTCCCTCCACTTCTTCACCATTCAAGATGATATCAGTACCTCCCTCAGGCACGCCCATAATTCGCTCGAAATCTTTGGCCGAAATATGCACTTCCAACCCATACGCCTTAATTGTGCTTTTTTCCAGATTAAAGCTCTTCAAAAGTTTCTCCAACAACTCACGTTGTATCTTTCTTCCTTTGACTTCAAGAATACGACCAAAGACACATCTCTTAATGGCCTCTGATTGACAAGCCTCTAAATTTGAGACTAGTGAGAATACTTTCCTAGGAGAACATCGCGTGCTGAAAATTTGATGCCTCTTCGTCTTCATTATAGAACAATTTTAGCAAACTGCAAAATTAAAACAACAGAAAAATTATAAGCATGCCTTGAAACACGAATTATAAGCATGCCGAAGAGTACAAACAAAATACAAGTTCTAACTACCAGAAGAACTGAAAACTCCCTACATCAACACCTGAGTACACTAATTAACCATGAAATCCGCCATTGGCATATATAAATTTCACCCAAAACACCCAGCTTCCATTAAATTTCACCCAAAATGCAAATTCTCACGGCCGTGACATGACCCGTGAGAAGCAAAGAGTAGTTTTCATATCCCCAGACAATCTCACGGCTTTGGCTTCATAAATCACGGCCGTTAAAATAACCCGTGAAACTAAAAACACCGATAAAAATCTGCCATATTCATTAAGCTAGCGAGCATAAGATCAATCTATTACTGAGCACAAACTTCAGTGGAGGCCCATCAATGTTCGATTTCAAAACTTCTCCAGTACTCTTCCACTTGCTAGTATAAGATACAGTGATCTGGAAACATATCAAGAAGCTAGAGACAAAGTTTTTTTAAAGTCTAACCAACCTACCAATTAATTTGCTAAAAATGAGACAATTTCATGATACAATCAACTAGTAAAGATTTCCAAACTCTACAGACTCACTCTGCTAGTATGAGAGAAGTACAGTTACAAAGACATCAAGATTTCAGGACCCTGCAGTTAGCATTTAAACATAGCAGAATCATGCATGCAGTCCATTCTGGAAATGACACTCAACCAAGTTTCTCTCATTTATGCTTTTCCTTTTTCACTTTTATGAACTAAATTTGTTTCTGGACTGAATATTTGTCCTGCATTTCAAAATAACTTTCCATTGTTTTCCACACACCGCCACTGCCCGTATTAACGGGGTCTCTTGCTACAATGCTTCCAAGAAAATCAGTCCTAACTCCCTTCTAGGACTCCATTGTCGATATTAAATTACCAGGATAAATAGTAGAGTTTAAGGGCAACCAAATGCATAAATAGTTATGAAGTGATGGGTCATCTATATCACAGCCAGTGACAATTTCCATATGAACATCACACGTATACCAACTGACCAAATATAAATAGTATGAGGGACTGGATTAACATAGCAATCTTAGTTGCTTTCTAGGGCACCCACAAGGCTGTTTTCTTTGAAGAAAGCAGCTAAAAGGTTGTCCAAAAAGAATAAACATCATTTAGCAAGTAAAGCAGGTGCAGAGCTAAACTTCTATTCTTCTTCCAAAATCACATCAACACCTTCTGTAAGTCTAGACTTGGCTAAGTAGTTACCAAGAAGAACGACTTCAATGGGACAATATTGAAAATCCATCTTTATTTCTTCCCAAGTCTTTAGATGCTAAAAATCCAAAATATCTTGCAAATAAAACAAAAGCCACTGAACATTTGTAACCTTCTACCCTCCATTTCCTAGGTTGGGGACAAGATGCAGCAGAACAGTAGTATTGATAAAGCATCATGGAACTTTAACATTTCATTTTCCTCAATTCGTTAATCAAAATACGATCACCACCTTCATTAGAAGCAGCATAATCAGTAGCTCTGAAAACATAACAAATACACGAGCTTCTAACAATTTGGAGCAGTATGCAGTAGGCAAGAAAAAGATGTTGTTATGCGTTACAATGAGGTCTACTGATTGTATCAAATGTTCCACCACGATACCAACGCTTGCTAAAGATTCTAGAATTTTGATCAGTCATATAAAATGAGATCGAGGCACGGAATGTACAATAAAGAATAAAACTTGGAGTAACTCCCAAGCTGCCGTATATTCTAAGGCCAACAGACCTCCTGTATTTGCATATCGATCAGCCACAACCATGCTATAAATATCCTAACTAAGTTTGACCTTAATGTCTCATCATTCATGGAAGCTCTTTTACCCACTGCACTAAACTTCTTTTCTACATTATATACACAATTCTAACTCCACAGACAGTCCCTTCGGATACATCCGATAACTCCACAAACAGAAAACTCATACTATGAAGTGAACAGTTAAGATAAGCACCCATTTCTGTTGGTTAATCGCATGCTTGGAGCCACTAACCATAGCAAAGAGACTTAAATCAATCAAACAAATCATGGTCTTCAAACTTAACTACATTCATCAATTGGCTAAACAGAGAAAAATTCCCAACTTTCTCAGTGAACACGGCCTTTCTATCTACCATATCATATCATATCAATCCTCCCACGAAGAAGATGGAAGAACTACAACAACAACATCCATCCAAAGCTTCCTCACCAAAGGAAGCATCATCAACAACCACAACCGCAACCACAACAACAACAACCACAACTGCTGTGAATTCTTCAGACTCGAATTCTTCTACCCTAACAACAGAAGAACCCAATGCTCCTCCTCAACAGAAGAAGATTGAGGAAGAACAACAACAACAACAACAACAACAACAACAACAACAACAACAACAACAAGAGCCTGCTAAGGATGTTGCTGAAACGGAGACAAATCAAGCACAACCTCAACAGCAAAAACAAGGTGAAGAGAAGGTAAATGCTGCAAATTCTCCTTCAAAACAAGTGAAGGAACAATAGGAACCGCCATTGCAGCTAATTATCAAGCTAAACACAAAGAAGATAGTACTAACCGAAAAAAAGTTGCGGTGGAGGAGGTAGGTCAGCGGTCTTCGTTTGCTATCGATGGGAAGAGGGGTTTTGTGCAGAGTCTTCGTTAGCTATCGATGGGAAGAGGGTCTTCGTTTGCAATCGACGAAGAGATGCTCGCTCTCATCGTCCCTTGCTCGCCGCCTTCACTGTCGTCGTCGGAATCCGGAATCCGAATCGCCGCCTTCACTGCCGCCTTCTACTCGTCGTCACCCACTGCTCGCCGTCTTCACTCGTCGTCACCCACTGCTCGCCGTCTTCACTGTCGCCGTCTTCACTGCTCGCTAGCTGGAGAGGATCGAAGGAAGGAAGAGGATCGAAGGAAGAGGGGTTTCGGCGGTGAGAAGAAGAGTGTAATTGGTTTCGAAGGAAGAAGAGTGTAATTGGTTTCAGAAAACCGGTTGTACCGGTCATCAACACACAAATAAAATAATAAATTAATAATTTAAATGAAATCTAATGGTTGATATAGTTTGGACATGATCTAATGGCTGTAAATGTTTTATAGTACCAATACTATAAAGCACACTAAAATGCCTCGTTACTATCATCATAACTTGTACAATGCCATTATTTCTACAATGTCGCGAGACTGTTTGGACCTTATGCAAGGCTGCCTGACAGTGACAACTCCCACTAGAGTATAGCTCTTCAAGGTTGACAAGGGCTTCCTGAGGCTGAGAGTAGGACTCACTGGATCTCTCCTGTTTGAAATATGTATACAAACCTAATTCAATGAAGAAAACTTGACTGGACGAACTATCTAATGAATCGGTTTGTCTATAACATAATTGTTTTAAATATATTAAATGTAATATAAAAAATCATATACACTTATGATATAAGAAAAATAAAATTTTGTCTAGTGTCATATATTTTGTTTTAAAATGCCCATTTAAATTGTTCACTCATTGCAACAATTAATTAATAAATTAGACACTTAATACATGGTTGAATACCCCTTTTCTTAAGTAAGTTAAATGGTCATTTTGAATAAGTATAAAATGAGTTAATTTGGAAAATTAATTGTTGTTTGTCTAAGTTGCTGGTGACGACATTTGACATATAACATTGATTTCACAACATATGATCTGCGTAGCTAGCTTTATGGACACTTGTAGAAGTAACAAATGACATTTGCCCCCAAAGAAATTCTTTGCATGCCGGCTCTAACGAGAATAAAGAAGCACAGATAATAATAATGATCCATTCACAAAGTGGCAGAAGTTTATTATACATAGCATTATAAGAATAATATGGATCACACCCCATCAGAACGTACCTGCCATGCATAACAAAGAAATAGCGAAGTTTAATTTAAGACTTCATTCCAAAAGTAAACGAAGTACACAAATGAGAATAGTTGAACCATATATATAAAAAGAGATGTAAATAGTTTAGTCAAAATCCTGACGGACCATAAATATTAAAAGAGAATAAAATATTGCCACCGATATCCTGACCGACTCATTGAGTATCCTCATATGAAAAATGAAAGACAAACCCCATGATAAGGAACCGACTCCTAAAATTATTTTGAAAGAGTTCTTCTATTTACCCCTCATCGTCTCCACATTTTCTTTTTTGCTGCTTGTTTTCAGTTCCTGCGCCATCGACAACATCAGCACGTCCATCCATAGTAGTTGGTTTGTCGCCGTTGGTGTCACATTGTTCTCCATTAAATGTTGACGCCTCCTCCTCTTGCATTTTAGGAGTTGCTTCCTCATTTGTCTGCATTCAATTTAGCCAATAGTTTCGGTATTCTAATTTTTGTGCAAGTGAAATTAAATTATATCATTGGTGTAGAATTTACCTGATCCAAAATTTGAACAGTATCCTGGATTTGTGCAGTCACCAGACGATCAATACTTTTATCTACCTCATGAGCTTTATCGTGCTTCTTCTCGTCATAGATCTCATCCACGCTGGCCGGTTCAACACGTCCACCATTAGCAGGCCCAATTTTTTCCTCCTGCAATTGGGTGTAGTTATATGAATGAAGCCTGAGATATCTATATCTAGACCATGAATTAAATCGAGTTTGGGGTATGATACTCTACCCTAACCTTTAATGGATAAACCCCAAGCACCGATTTTCTAAACCCCAACCCGAAGTTTCATTTAATGAAAAACAAAAATTGACCATTGAGATCGGCCGGAGCTCATCTAAGTACATCTAACGGTTAGATCACCTGCTGTATACTATACGGCTGACGTACACCAGTCATTTACATATATATATATAACATTCTTACCGATCAAATGCATTGCAAAATCAATGTCCAAGTATTGAAAGTGCATGGTAATTATGCTTCAATAATTAGAGGGTGCATGGTCAAAAGAAGCTCGAAATATAGTAGATAATAACGAAGTTTGGTAAATGACAATTCGACGTTAGCTGGACATACCTCAATTAATTCAGGCAGATCATTTGAATTGTTGTTTTCCTCATCCTTCCCTATCTTGATAATTGTGTATTCATTTGTAGGGTTAGCGATGTTGTAATCAGTTAGCTTGATGAAGAACTTCAACATCATTCCTTCAATTTGTAGGAGATGAGCCGGTGGTGGTCCTTTCATTTGTTCGTTGTCTTGGAGTAGCGTTTCAGCAGATATGCCAAAAAATCCATCGACAACTCCATCCATAATAACAAAGCTAGCTTCAGCTGTTTTATCCGCAACTTAGAGGTGGATCCTGAATTTATGATTGTAAAGAAGAACAAAAATCATGAGTGGTTAGGCCCAAAAATTTAACCATTGAATTAATATATGGTAATTGAGGCGTAAACTAATACTGATGGGGAGGCCAAATGGGAGCAATAGATAAAAATAGTGTAAACTGGAATGAATCTCGAACGTGTTTATATTACGCATTTATAATGTATAATTATTCATGCAATAATTTGTTTATTATATTATATGTATACAAAAAGTAAAGGAATATAAATTAGGGTGTGCCTACGGTGACATGCATGTCACGGTGACTTGCACTTTCCGGTCGACCTCAGTTAGGATTAGGTCGATCTCATTTAGGATTCGGTCGACCTCATATAGGATCTGGTCGACCTAATCTGTTGTTTCAGTGTAAAAACAGTTCATGGTGCCTACTTTGGATATTCATATCATACAATTGGCTAGATGGAAATTGAAGACTAATGACTTGTTTTGAAGCTGGAGTATCCCTCTACATATTGAAGTGATTGATAACTCGATAGGAAGTCCAGAAGACCATTTTTGAACCTCATCAAAAGGCTATGCCAAAACTGGGAAACTGTCTGGAAATGGCTAAGTCTGGAAACGTGTTTGTGAAGCCTATTTTGGAGCTCAATTCGAGAAGCATGAATGCGAATCGAGTCCAGGAGCCTCTACCACGTTAAATTAGGTATGTTTTTATACAAATTCAAGGCATTGGATGAAAGATTGGATATCTGTAAGGCTTCAAACAAAAGGGTCAAAGTTGCTACGAAGGCTGTTTTTCTGGCAGACTTCGAGCACAAGCAAGCTGCCAGAAAAATAGCCTTCGTAACAACTTCGAGCCTTTTGTTTGAAGCCTTAAAGATATTCAATCTTTCATCCAATGCATTGCCTTTGTATAAAAAAAATACGTAATTTAACGTGGTAGAGACCCCTGGACTTGACTCGCATCCATGCTTCTCAAATTGAGCTCCAAAGTAGGCTTGACAAACACGTTGCCAGACTTAGCCATTTTCAGGCATTTTCCCAGTTTTGGCATAACCTTTTGGTCAGGTTAAAAAATGATCTTCTGGACTTTCTATTGAGCTCTCAAGTACTTTAATGTGTAGAGGGACACTTCAGCTTCCAAACAAGCCTTTAATCTCCAATTTCCATCTAGCCAATTGTAAGATATGAATCTCCAAAGTAGGCACCATGAAACTGTTTTTACACTAGAAACAACAGATTAGGTCGACCTGATCCTATATGAGGTCGACCGAAAAGTTCATGTCACCGTGACATGCATGTCACCGTAGCAAAGTCCTATAAATTATGCTCCAGCAAATTAAATCTCCGACGACGTTCCTATTCCTACATGTATGAAATGATAAAAGGAACATATATTATGTTGTAGTTAATTAAATAACCTACTACTTTGCCAGTATATTAAGGAATGAAATACATTAAACTCAAATTAATATTAATAATTAGTGAATTACCGGGCTGTTGTGGTCTTTAACGTAGTCGTACAATTCCCACAGAAGTACTCATCAGAATCTTCTTCGAGTTTTTGTGGACAACTTTGACATCCAGCATAGCACCATCCATTCTTAACCTTGACAACTTTGCATATGGCGGTATACATATTCCCCTGCATATTATATATTTAGTGTTAGCATTTGATAGTCATTAAATTGTTAAATCAAAATTGATACTAACCTCCTCTCCATCATTCATCTTCAATATATTCAGATCCTGTAGTGTTTTGATTGGAATTGTCTTTTAATTGAGCCTTTTCTGTTTCCTTCACTAGTTTTTCTTTTTAAAAAGGGTGCTAACATTTCATTACCAAAGGCAGAAGCCAAGTGTTAGCATTTGATAGTCATTAGATTGTTAAATCGAAATTGATACTGACCTCCTCTCCATCATTCATCTTCAATATATTCAGATCCTGTACTGTTTTGATTGGGATTATCTTTTAATTGAGCCTTTTCGGTTTCCTTCACTGGAGGAGTTGGCGCATCACCGTCACTTTATTCACAAAAAGGATATGTAATTACTTTCTTATTATGTTTTAAGCTTCTAAGTTTAAATGCACTACAATACTATGATAAAAATGTTGTGATTTTTACCTTGGCGCAAAACTAATGTCTTGAGGAATTTGTGGATTCGCCAGCATCATGATCGCTCCGCTTGAGGAGAAGTTGTTCTCACATGCAAATGTGACGATAAGTTAACTAAGTGTTTATTTGAGATGATTTTTTTTACTTAATCAACACGAAAGTAAGATAATCGTGTGTTTAGCATTGTAGGCAACAACATATAATGATGTAATGACCAGGATGAGAGGATGATTGCCTGCACTTACAAGAATGACATTAAATTGGATGACTATCCTACCAAAGAGAGTTTACCTTAACAACCAATCCCGTGTACCCGAATTATAAATTAGTCATTAACCCGTTATAATTATATTGCACTTATGTGGCCCATTTGTGAATTTTCAAAGCTATACGACCATTTCGTTCTCCATCTCAAAGTTAAGTGATCGTCTTGGACATTTACTCAATATTTATATGTAACGAAGTTCTGGCCGATACATTCGAACAGGAGAGATCCTCAGAGACAGAGTAGCGGCGGAGGCAGAAGCCGGAAAAGAATGGAAGAGCTAAGGAGGCTGGAAGAAGTACAGAGAATGCTCAACTTCGCCAAATCTCGTCGCTTGGCTTCCGCTTCTGATGAAGATTCCAACCTTTTCATTTCCAATTTCATCCTCTTTCTGGTACCCAATTTATTCATCCTTAACACACTCTTTTCAGTTTCTTCTCGTTTCATATGACTGATGGATTCCCCTTGCTTGCCCTTCCTTTCCGCTTCTCTTGTGACATCAGATGCAACCGTATGGCGATCTCGACATGAACACGAAGTTCAGCTTGGTTCGCGAACAACTACAGCTAGTAAGCTGAAGTTTTCCACATTGATTAATCGCAACAACTAACTAATCTCTGAACTTGGATTCTCGTAATTGATTCAATTTTGGGCGTTTGCAGTTTTCGGACCCTGCTTTCCAGGAATCGTCACTCTCAGGGAAGTCACATTCTCCATTAGAGATGGAGAGCAGTCCTGCCAAAGGTCCAATTTCCGTCACCGCTATTATAATTTGTGCTTCCCCTATCGAAAGCTCCTTCCTGCGTGATTCTGTTGAAATTCGTATCGAATAGTAACCTCGTTTTAAATACGATTTTAAGAAGCATTTTTTTATTGGTTTCAGGCTGTCAAGAAAGTAGAATCGCCAAAGTTGGTTTTGCTTTCTAGTGATGGAGAAAGTAGTGAACCACTAAAGAGTTTCCACCAAATGGGTGTGGTTCAGCTTGATGCTATGCAGAGAGCTAACTCTACTCTTGAGGATTTTGTAAGCAAGTCACTTGTTCCTTTGATTGTTTGATGAATGTTATCATCGAAATTTTTTGATTCTATAACAATGGTTGTTTCCCCCCTTAACATAAGAATGGTTTTAACGATGTGTTTCATACTTAACATTTAACACCCGGGAGGGTTGAGATCGTTTTGGGGATGATGTGAAAATCAACACTGCAGGCAATCAAACTAAGAATATGATCAGTTGAGCAGTTATTATGATAGTTGTAATGGGGGGATCCTTACGAAAATGGGTCACATTGCCTTTTCTTCAGACGGACTGTTTTCATGGATTTTTTGGTCTTGAAACTGAAGCCATGTTGCCAGTAGACCGTCATTCTGTCGACCTGACATTATACTACCCACTTCTGTTGTAGAAACAAGCATGCAAATAACCTAATTGTTAGTCTCGTAATCTGCAATTTTAATTGTTATCTAACATTGTTTATGCATTTTGCAGTGTAGGTCTTACTTTATGTTTCATGGAATGGATGTCAACAAGCCAGAGTTACTATTCAAATATTTACCCTTCTGTCTTTCACTGAAAGTTACATCTATCAGGTATCCAACTGAGAAGTCTTTCTTCTTTTAGCTACAGATGTAAAAACATGAAAGAATAGAAGATTTCTGGGAAGAGCTTTGATTCTTGGTATTCACGTCTTTATTTGCTATGTTATTGGAAGCTAATTTTTTGTTAGTGCAGATGGATAGCTTGAACGAAAAGATAGTTAATTTGGCAAGCAGCAAAGTTGCATGTCTAGGAAGAGGATTTGAGGTAGGCAACATTTAGCATTTTATGTAACTTGTTTCTCGTATTTTTGAATTGTTTTGTCAAATGCTCAATTGGCCACCTTTGTCCAATTTAAGCAGGATGGTACCCAAGGCTTCGAGATGAAGTTTATGGGTATTCTTAAAACTGAACCGTTCCAGCCACTTGTGCTTCAATTAGAACATCATGGCCTTCTTACAGAGAGGTAAATCACAAGGTCCTATTCATTTTCGGGTTATTTCGGAAGAATGGAGAATCTTCATTTCTGAATTTGGTTGCACCACACCTTTCTGGTGTTCGATTCTCTTATGTTTAAGGATCCGAGAAGAATTGAGGTGTGGGAGAAGAGTATTGGTCACTTGAAAGAGACCTTTGTTCGGCACTAGCAAATCAGAACGAGGTACCGTGTATGATTGCTTCTCTTCTGTGTTGAGCCGTGTTTATGTTAGTATAAAGTGTCACGGGGATGTATCTTTACTATCAGAAGTGCATCCTCAGATTCTAAACTACTTAACTACTTAAGCGAAAACCAGCATATAAGCTAGTTAGTGGGTTCTTGATGAATGAAATTCAGAGCCGGGAATCAGCTTGCACAAGTTTTAGATATTTGAAATCCTGATGGTGAATTGTGTTGCAGATCTGTGTTGAAGATGTAATGAGGGCAATTCATCTGAAATCATTTGACTATCGCATACTAAATCTTCTCCTTTATCAGCTGCAAGGAGAACAGGTTCGTTAGTTGTAGTCACTATTCCGGGGAAAGAATATTTGCTTGTTTTCTTCTTTTGGGGTTATGAATTAGTTCGTTTAATAGAAACTAAGCTGTGGTTTGTTTGAAGCTGTTATGAAGGTGAATGACTTGCATATGGATTTCCTATCAATATCAGAGTTTTTGGTTGAAATAGCAGATGATCTGTAAGTGATTTCGTTTTGGCAGGGGCATGCCTCTCAATCAAACTATTACCGCCCTTGTTAAATAGTGAAGTAGTAGAATATCAGGTTACAGTTCGCGCATAGCACCGTGTTTCCACATACTGGTTAATCTGCAGGAAGAACTAATACTTTTTTTCGTTCATCAATACTACAATCTGCTTGCCAAGTGAACTCGGTTCCACTAATCGCCAACTCAAAATGCAACATCCATAGGTTTGATTACGAGGTGCGTTGTCATATAGACATCTCTGAACATGTAATTTACCCTCTGTAGGTTGCTAATGCGAAAACAATTTGATTTTACTCAGGATGATGTACAAGAGAATAGCTTCAATATCTTGCGGATGTTTGTCAGAATATATGGACCTTCAAGAGCCCCAGCAATGCTGGTGAGATATCTTGGCAGTATAAGATTCATTAGTATAGAGTAAGGCCTGCTTATCTTTTTAACAGGAGTCTCTACTCTATCTCTATATTCCCAGGCAAAGTGCATCGGTGATGCCGAAGAGAAGTATGAACGTTTGCTGAAGACTCTGGAGCCTCACTTATCAAAAAGTTACCAGAGAGATGCGAAGAGGCAACAAGAGAAGGTAGTATTTTGCTGGTGCATATTCATTTTCATGAACTATTTTGAAAAAATGCTTTTCAAGACTGACAACAATTGACTGCTGGCTTGGTTAGGCGGGAAGCTAATCGGAAACCCTCTGGGATCATGGACCATACCGCGTGTAATTGCAGACGAAGAATCATTTAGAGCCATGTGTTCAAAACCCTTAATGCCGAACTTCAACTCAATTGCTGATAACTCAGATTAATTTATAGGACATCAGCAACATACTTATTTCGTAGCAAGGAACTTAAAAGAGGGTGCAGCCCATTGGTGGCAGGATTTCATGTCTCAGTGTTATCACTTACCACCACGAAAAAACCTCTGCAATCAGTCGATCAAAGTCTGTAGAAAAGCTCAGAGAGCTAGGGTTTGATAAGAAGAAGAAGTGTAATGGCGGTATAGAATTGGAACCCGCAAGGAGCTCAGCTCCATCTCATCTTTGTATTTATACTGAGTTCAAAAGAGTAAAGTTGCAGTACAGTAAAAACTGAAATGACTGTTAAAAACAGAAATATAAATGCGGTAAATAAAAATGCGCCATGTGTCTTCGATTGATTGGCCTCTCTCTTTTCCACCTAACGGTAAGTAAGCCTCCACGACGTCGCTTCGGTCTTCGCCTAACGCTAGATGGAAGGGGAGGCCGAAACGAAACGTTCCTGCCTCTTGATCTCTGTAAAACCAGCAGCTGCTTCAGTCTTCTGAGAATCCTGCAGCAGCTTCATTCATCTTCATCTTCCTTGTTCAATACTCCCCACAAGCTGGCGAGTAAGCATTGAAGACTCCCAGGTTGCCAAGAAGAAAACTCAGTCGATAGAGAGTCATTCCTTTAGTGAATAAGTCTGCAACTTGATCATCAGTTCTTACATGATTGAGCTTAATCAAACCAGATTTGAGCCTCTCTCGAGTGCCATGACAGTCGATCTCGATGTGCTTGGTTCTCTCGTGGAAAACCGGGTTTTCGGCTATATGCAAGGCTGACCTGTTTTCACAAAACAAAGTAATTGGTAAGGAACCTTAATCCCCATCTCCAGCAGCAAATTTCTCAGCCACTGTACTTCACAAACCACTTGAGCTAGTGCTCTGTATTCCGCTTCAGAAGAGGACCTTGAGACAGTTGTCCTGTTTCTTTGTTTTCCATGTAATCAACGATGAACCCAGGAATGTGCAGTAACCTGTCAAAGACCTCCTAGAGTCAGGGCAACTCGCCCAGTCAGCATCGCAGAAACCAGAAAGCTCCAACTTAGAATCTGCCTTAAACAACAAGCCTTGGCCAGGAGTGTGTTTCAAGTATCTGATAACCTTGTGTGCTGCCTACAGATGATTTATACTTGGTGCTGTTTGGAACTGAGCCAATTGCTGAACAACATACGTTACATTAGGCCTAGTAATGGTCAAGTGATGAAGTCTACCAATTAGCCTTCTGTAAACACTTGGATCAGGTACTGGCTCTCCTTGATCTGCTGTCAACTTCACATTACAGTCTACTGGAGACAAACAACCCTTTGCTTCAAGGAAACCGGTGTCAGTAAGTAGTTCCAAGCAGTATTTCCTCTGACTTACTGAGATTCATTTGTGATCTCTTACAACTTCCAGACCAAGGAAGTAGTTCATCTGACCCAGATCCTTTACCTTGAATTCTTTACTGAGGAACATTTTCAATTGTTCAATATCACCAAGGTAACTTCCAGCAATCAAAATATCATCCACATACACTAAGACAACCACAACTCTTCCCTGGATCCATCTAACAAACATGGAGTAATCTGAAGCGGTTTGTGAATAGCCATTCTTCATCAGAGCACTAGCTAACTTAGCAAACCACTGTCTACTAGCTTGCTTAAGCCCATACAGAGATTTTTTGAGTTTATAAACCAAACCCGACCCTTTTGGGATGTCAACTCCAGGTGGGATTTCAAGGTAGACTTCCTCATCCAAGTCCCCATGTAAGAATGCATTAGATACATCCATCTAATGTATGTGCCAGTCCTTAGAGGCTGCTACTGCTAGAAGAGTCTTGACAGAATTTATTTTTGCCACGGGGGAATATGTATCAAGGAAATCAATTCCATAAATCTGCGTGTAGCCTTTGGCTACCAGTCTTGCTTTGAATCTCTCAATAGTACCATCTGCTTTGTACTTAATCTTAAACACCCACTTGGTTCCCACAGTTCTCTTTCCCTTAGGAAGTTTAACAATTTCCCATGTCTGATTCTCTTCCAGTGCTGCTAATTCTTCTTTGCAAGCCTCCTTCCACCTTGGATCTTTACAGGCTTCGGCATATGAGGTTGGTTCCTCATTTACCATAATGCTCATAGCAACCTTCTGTTGAGCAGGTGTGAGTTGCTCAAAGGTATAGTAATGTCATACATGGTGTTTGGTACAAGATGCTGCAATGTTGACATGATAGTCCTTATGCCATATAGGAACAGTTTTAACTCGACTGGACTTCCTGATATACTCAGCTTCATCTGAGTCAACTGGATCAGGAAATACCTCAATCTCAGCTTCCTCCCCCACAGACTGCACACCAGTAGTTTCAGCTGAAGAGAAAGACTCATCTGAGGCAGTAGGCAGTGCAGAAGAAGAGGAAGAAGGAGTGGAAGTAGACAAAGGAGTATCTGAAGGGGGTGCAGGCTGAGAAGAAGAAGAAGGTAAAGTAGGGGAAATAAGAGGAAATGCAGGATAGATTGGATCTGCAACTGTGGGAGAAGTGGAAGACTGGTTAACAGCAAATGGGAAGATGGTTTCATAGAATGTGACATCACGAGAGATAAAGAAAGAATGATTGTTGAGATCATAGAGTTTATAGCCTTTAACCCCTGTAGGAAAACCAAGAAAGATGCACTGCCTAGCCCTACTGTCAAACTTGGTCCTGTCTCTGTGTAAGGTGGCAGCATAAGAGAGACAACCAAAAACCTTTAAACCAACAAGGCTAGGTGGTTTGCCATACAAGCATTCATAAGGTGTTTTTTTTTCCAAGACTGGGGTAGGAAGTCTGTTAATGAGGAAAACAACATGGAGGATGCAATCACTCCAAAAGGTAAGAGGAAGTCCTGATTGGAATCGAAGTGACCTGGCAACATTCAGTATATGCTGATGTTTGCATTCAACTCGAGCATTTTGCTTAGGTGTTTCAACACAGGACTGTTGGTGAACAATCCCATGCTCAGTGTAGAAATCAGCCATGTGAATTTCACTGCCTTGGTCACTTCTAACAACCTTAACAGGCTTTGAGAATTGCTTAAAAACCATAACACAGAAAGCTCTTAACAAAGTACTAGCTTCTGATTTAAACTTCTTAAGGTAAGTCCAAACACCTCGAGAGTAATCATCAACAATTGTCAGGAAGTAAGAATACCCCTCATGGGATTTTATAGCAAGAGGACCCCATATGTCTACATGAATTAGTTCAAATGCATCTTGTGCATGACTAGTACTGCTAGGAAAGGGAAGCCTTCTATGTTTGGCAAAATGACATGTTTCACAGTGGAAAATAGAAGTCCTATTACAAGGGATTAAAAGATTCTCTCTGTGTTTACTAGGATGGCCTAGCCTCCAATGTCAATAGTGTGGGGAGAGAAGTTGTATGTAGAAGCAGCCCGAGGTGTATTGAGAAGTGGTTGTGTGGACTTGGAAATCAACTGGTAGAGACCTCTAATCTGTTTTGCCAAACCAGTCCTGCTCTGGGTCATGAGGTCCTGAATTTGGCAAGAATCAGATTCAAAATGTAAGGAAATGTGAAGGTCATTAGTCAGTTTGCTAACTGATACTAAATTGAAGGTGAAGCTAGGGACTAATAGGACATTGTCAAGGATAAGGTTGGTAGGAAGTCTCACTCTGCCTATATGATTAACTGCCACTTTAGTACCATTAGGTAGGAAGACAAACTGACCAAACACAGGAGTAGATTCAATAAAAGCATGCAAGTTACATGCTATATGGTCTGAAGCCCCAGTGTCTAGGATCCAGACCTCCATAAGTGAATCATTCTTATGCTGCAGATAAGAAGATAAGATGTATTTACCAGCATGATTGGGAAAGTGTGGAATATGCTGTGCCACTGAGAAGGCAAGGTGGTTGATGGATGGAGATGCTGGTTGTGAAGGATTGGGAGATGAGGAAACTTATTGCAGAAGGAACCTTAGTTTGTTCAACTCATCTGAAGACAGGCTGATGTTGGAGCTTGTACTTTTAGTGTCGATGCTGAGTTTTGTATCTGAACTGGCTGAGTCACTATCAGTGGAAGAATCACCTTGTGACACAGCTGCAACAACATTGCTTCCAGCCATTCTTGCCTTCTTGTTCTTCAGACGATAGCAGTCTTCAATGTTGTGGTTCTCCTTCTTACAATATCTGCAGAACTTAGGCCCATCTGAACTTGAGCTTGGATTGGGTGCAGACTTGTTTTGGTTCTGAACAGCAAGGGCAACAGTCTGCACTCCCCTTGTCACTCCAACTTTATCCCCTTTGATCTTCTGCTCATGCTGAAGAAGATCATTCACAGCATTATCCACTGTTGGTAAAGGCTTCATCATCAGCAGTTGTGTGTGGATCACTTCAAATTCTGGTCTCAAACCTTTCAAGAAGCGGATTAGGTACTCCACTTCTTGTTTCTGCTTATTAGCTTCCACTGCTGCACAAGGACGAGTCCTTTGGGCAACACAGTCACACTCTACAATGGGATTGAATTGAAGATTCTCTTCCCATAAACCCTTAAAAGCAGTGTAGTACTGTGTGATATTGAGAGTGCCCTGTTTGCAAGCAATAATCTGATCCTGGAGATTGGCTAGCTTGATAGCATTTGTAACTCCAAATCGATTCTTAAGTTCAGTCCAGAGAAGACGAGCATTCTCGTGCTGCATAACACTCCTCCTAATTTCTTTGTCAATGAAATTCAAGATCCAACACAGAACAAGGGTATTACAAGCATCCCACATCGCAAACGAATCATCTACCATATCAGGCATAGGAATAGAACCATCGATGAAACCCAGCTTATGTTTAGTTTTCAAAGCCATACGAACTGCACGTTGCCACATCTGGTAATTAGGGCCATCTAGATTCTCAGAAACAATCGATTGGGAAATGTTCTCGTTTGGGTTGATGTAGAATGGATTACCGAAAACCAGATCTGGGCGATCGTCTCTGGTGTTGTTGTTTGTGCTGGTACTGCCATTGTTCGTCATGTTGGATTGTGGGTCGAAGCTTCCGAAGGGAATAGAACCACTGCGCAGCGGAGTACCACCAGGTGGTGTGTTGGGAGGAGGTTGATTCGCCATTGTTGGTCACTGGATCCGTTCCAGCTCTGATACCATGTAGAAAAGCTCAGAGAGCTAGGGTTTGATAAGAAGAAGAAGTGTAATGGCGGTATAGAATGGAACACGCAAGGAGCTCAGCTCCATCTCATCTCTGTATTTATACTGAGTTCAAAAGAGTAAAGTTGCAGTACAGTAATGTTAGGGTACAATCCAAGTACCACATCGAAAATACAAGGGAAGGAACCCTTGTATATTAGAGTCCACCTAGCCCAATTAGTACGAGGCCTTTTGGGGAGGACACCCAAAAGTAAAACCGTGCGGGCTTGGCCCAAAGCGGACAATATCGTACTAATTGAGCAGCCCGATTTTGACAAGTGGTATCAGAGCCTGGTTAGCTCGTGCACTGGACTCTGAAGAT